GGCATTCGATACCATCAATCATTTCATTTTATCCAAGAAACTCGAATCATACGGTATTACAGGTCCATCCCTCAAATTTTTAAACAGTTACCTCCTTAACCGAAAGCATACTGTTTACATATGGGGCTCATTTTCTTCTACTAAAACAATAAATCAAGGGGTTCCTCAAGGGTCATTACTGGGTCCGTTACTTTTTTTACTTTACATTAATGACCTTCTTGACATTATACACATGGCTCACTGCGTTTTATATGCTGATGATACTACCATTTCCATTGCTGATAGATGTATTGACAGTGTGAATAATAAATTAAATGCTGTACTTTGTAGTGTGTCAAAATGGTGCCAGGAAAATTTCTTAATCATTCATCCAAATAAATCTAAGTTTATGGTTTTTAGATCAGCTCAACGCAAGTTAACTTCCTCACCACAGCTCACAGTTGACTCTCATTTGATAAATAGCAGTGACAGTGTATCTTTTCTTGGCATTCACCTCGACGCTTACCTTAACTTCGCTCTCCATATTGCTCACATTAGAAAAACGGCAGCATTCGGCATTCGCGCATTACTCAAAGCTCGCTCATATTTTTCTCATAAAGCACTCCTTTCACTTTACTTCGCATTCATTCATTCTCATATCACTTATGGCATCGCATCATGGGGGAATACTTACCAGTGTCATCTTTCATCCGTACAACATCTACAGAATCGAGCTATTCGCGCTATTTTTAACTGTTCTCGCGACAGTAGCGCCGCTCCCCTTCTTCAATGCAATAAAATCTTAACTGTTAACTATCTATTCAGGATTAATCTAATTATGTTTTTGCATACACAAATAAGAAATCAACTTTCTGCTAATTTCATTGATCCTAAGATGTTAGTTAATACTAACACAACCAGGTTCGCTGCTAATGATAACTTTTTACTTCCTAAGGTTTGTACTAACTATGGTAAATCATCTTCTCTCTTCTGTACCATCACCATATGGAATAATTTGCCAACTTCGCTAAAATGCAAAGTTTCTTTATTTTCAGTTAAAAACTCATTAAAAGAGTACTTCTTAAATAGTTGATCTATCATCTTGTTTGTGTTGTTTTATGCTGTATTATTTGTTTTTTGATTCCATGCCTTTTTGTTTTCATTCTGCTTTATTTATTTTTGCTTCTACGATTCTAACAGCTGCTTGTGCTTTTATTATTTGTAATGATCACCGAGGGTCCCGTTGCAGTCTTGTACTTTGGGACCCTCTTCTGTATATTTTACTCCCTGTAGCATCCTTTTATGACATGATAATAAGCTGATTGCTTGATTGATTGATTGATTGATTGATTGATTGATTGATTGATTGATTGATTGATTGATTGATTGATTGATTGATTGATTGATTGATTGAACAATATTGGTAATAAGCAACATACCGTCGCTGTATATTTATGCTCTAACAATGTGTTTCTTTCTACGGAGCCTCCCACTTTTTCTCTGAACCCTCTTACTGAGGTATTAAAGGCACAATATTAAATTTGATACGCAGTTCTCTATACAACAGAATGTACTTTACTTGTATATAAGGTATCCTTCCCAATCACAACTACAAAATAAAAGTTCAACAAAGCTCTCTTCTCGAACCTTTATGCTTTATTTCATAAATATTCGCTATTATGAGCACCCCATGAACTCCTGCCATAAGTTCTCTAGAAGACGACACAAGTACCTTTTGCAAGTCAATACTTACTTGAACTTGAGCTTACAGATGACAAACTGAACAATGAAACTATTTAAAATAAATCACTTCATTATAATATAAGACAAATAAGCCTACCACAATCACAAGCGCTAATAATTTAATGGCTGCAATGCCTCTCTTGATTTCACAACCCCACTATTGAAGGGAATGCTTGGGGCTGTTTTTGAAGAGAGCACCAGCTGGACATCTCCCGTAACTGAAGTTCCATGCAAATATGGGCAGGACAATTTCATTAATGCACAAAATTAAAACCTTGCTGGCTAAATAGCTTTAACGACTGTTATAATGTACCCTCGTTTGTTCTCATTTACACTACTATCTACTAATCTGAGATGCCACAAGGAACAAAAATTTTGAGAGGTTGTTAATTTTGCAAGAAAGTACCCAATTTTGTACCTGATATGAGCACTACATTTAGTCATGAACTTTAGTGTCGTTAATCCATTATCCTTTCGGGTGACACTGACAACTTTCAAATCCCGAAGATCAGAAAGATAACGAGAATGAAACCAAGGCATGCGGGTCACGAAAAATTTGCATCTGTATATGCCAGCAAGATTTACTTGGAATAACTAATCTATTAAGAGTATGTTGAGCTTGTATGACACTGTGTTGTCATTTCCTTTAAGTTTTTCTATTCAAATATGTAGCGCCGGTCGCTAAAGACAACAATTTGGCCTACTACCCGCAGACAAAAAAAAGATGGGCTTGTTATTTTCCCTTTGAACATTCAGAAGGTTAAAGCCACAGTCACCGAACAAGAATTTCACGTGTAAAAATCTGTGGTGTGGACGAAAGAAAAAACTGAAGAAAAAAACTTTGCCACGAGCTCTTTTTCATCATCATTATCATTATCAGCCTGACTACGTCTACTGCAGGACAAAAACCTCTCCCATGTACCACCAGTCTACTCGGTCGTGTGCTTGCTGCTGCCACTTTATACCCGCAAACTTCCTAATCTCATCTGCCCACCTAACTTTCTGTCTCCCCCAAACCCTCTTGCCTTCTCTGGGAATCAGTTACCCCTTATTACCAGCGGTTATTCTGCCTACGCGCTACATGCCCAGCCCATTTCCATTTCCTCTTCTTGATTTCAACTATAATACCCTTAACGCCAGTTTGTTGTCTTTAATGTCTTTTACATCAGGCCATTCTAAGCTCACTAAGCGAGAGATTCTTAAACTCACTCTCAAAAACACTTTGAATAAATCCTCTTTACACGCATGTCGGGCCAGTTTTTTCGTGTAGGGAAATCGTTTGATTGCAGCAGTTAACCCACAGCAGGTAACACTGGTCACTTCAGCAGCACAAGGACTTTTAAGCACGGTGAAACGCAGCAAGCACTAACCTTCAGGTGAAAGCAGTATTGATAGAAACCAGCAAAGAATTTATGTCATGCCTTACATACATGACTCATCACACGTTCTCAAGGAGCTAAGCTAAAAACCGGGTGTTTTTTTTTTCACCAAAAAAACTTGTGAAGCTTTCTAAAGCAGCGATAGTTATAGCGCGATAACAGAACGACTAAGACACAGGAAGGAGACGAGCATATGTCTCTTTCTTGCCTCTTTGTCGTCGTTCTGTTCTCGCACTATAACTGTCTTCATGTCATACCAACTAGCCCAAACTGCCACACTTGTAAAGCAAGTTACAAAATGATCGGCGTTTCATGTGTCACGAAACCAAAAAAAAAATCATTTTGTTTGAACTCGGAAAGGCGTCGTGTATTCTTTTCCTTTGTCATGCGGTACGAAATGTATCGGACAAACTGGCAGGTGCATAAATAACAGACTTCACGAGCAATTTAGGAGTTGTCAGAATATGGCAGCTGATCATCCCAGACAGCACTACAAAACCTGTAGTTGTGCACTTCCCCTTGCTGATTACATAGTAATCGGCACTAGTAACAATAAATCAACTCGTGAGATCAGTGCGGCAGTGGTAATCGCAAAAACAGGTGATTCTTGCATCATCTGCACAGCTTCCATAAACGAAACGAAAAGGCGGTTTTTGTTCCTAGACAAAATGCAGTATATAGTGTGGCTCTGCACGCGACAAGGTATAGCATTTCAAGCGCTTTATTCATTCTACTGCACCTCCTGGTTATTGTTGCAATATACTTTGCTTTTTTGGCCCAACCACAACTTTCAGTGCCTGCGGGCACTGTTCAAACGCATACGCTTCATTCACCTTTGCCGAATAAACATTCTGTTGAAAGTCGGAGCACCATCCCGTCGTTTTTCTTAGCCCATGGCTTTCTTGAGCACCACTAGTGTTCACCACGATTCTTCATTGTTTGGGGCCTTGACAGACACAACATTTATCTTTTGAAAAATCGCGCATGGGGCCCTTTTTTGAAGGCTCTATTGACTAAAGCAGCTAGATGGGCCTCACTTGCGGTCCTCAGTTGGCTTCCTAGGGTCCGTTCAGCGAGTCACACCACCTACGACCATGTTTGTATTGGGTGCGCGTGTCCTATGTCAACTGTAATGGGTTGCTCTGGACAGCTGTATGACACATGTGATAGTGCCTCTGCAGCGCGAGCATAAATTGTTATATATATCCCGGTACATGACGTGAGGCTTACGCAAATTTGGCAATGTATTGGTCTGCAGGTGGTGCCAGTCCCGCTTGATTTCTGTTGAAGTAGTTTTGGGGAGATGACCTAATGCGGCGATCAAATATATGTCTAGGATTCCATGCTGTGTGACCCCTACATCTGTCTCCTCTACAGAGTCGGGTGGTTGCGGGGTTCGGCCACTGACTATTCGAGTTTGGAGATGAACTGATTCCTTGACTTCCTTGTCCGCGTGTGGGCACCACACTAACCCACGATGAAAGAGGAGTTCACTGCCGAACAGCTGGATGGTCCATGTTGATGATATGCTCTCGAGGTATATGCGACAAGCTGCCTTAAAGTCTGAATATACGTAAGCGGGGTATCCCTGTTGGTCTGTTATTCAAATGGTGAGAGTGATAGCATTTGTAGAGTAACGTCAGAAACACATTGTACCTCGCGCCTGGCGATGAGCATAGCATCTTTTTCTTTTGAAGCTAGGTAATAAAACGGAGTATTCTGGAAAGACAGAGAGGTGGTGGTGTTGGGTTATTCAATAAAGTTCGGCTCCATTCGGGGACATTTCTGTTGATAACACCTCTGTAACTCTGCGCTAACACTTTAGAACATCGATTGTCGTAACGATCGTCAATTTGTAAAGACGAGAAAGCTAAAGAATTTGTTTGTGTTTTTATGCAGCTATCTTGGCCAGTGGAGAGTTTCAAGCAGTCAAGGTGTTTGATGACGTAAGAGAGTGTTCTTGTATTATCATACCATGTTTCTCAATTTCATTTTTTTTTCTGTGAGGGTTGAAATTAGCAACAATTCAGGGTAGAAATTTTAGAGAACTTGTTGACTACATAATGCTAATGGGGCCAGAGGAGAAATGATTATTTGTTTTTTATTCTTAAAAGTCCAACCCTCTACTTGTCTCTCTTAACGCGTCAATTATTCTCTCAATATAAGCATACTGATAACGGTTTTAAATCATTATTGAAAGAAAAATAGCCAGTGAACTCGCCATTGTTTGTTTTGTTCTTCTCTTGTTTTCAAAACAACAACACAGTGTATCACTTTCACGGGTAGCAGCCAGCCTATTCTACATGTTCTTCTTTGCCATTTTATAAATGTTTCTACGTCGAAAAGTGCAACTACTTTTCTTTTAATTACACGTGTTACTCACTCATATCAAAAAGCCTTCCTCAAATGCGCCAACATGTCGCGAAACGTTTCTGACCTAAATTACACATTGGCATCTCATTGCATATGGGGCTAGAAACGTCAACTTTAAAACTTTATGAGAAGCTTTCGCGTGAATTACCAATAAGTGAATAATAACTTCCCTCTACCTTTGGTTAATCCCTTTTTTCCCCCTAAGTAGCTGGAAACTGCTGTAAAAAAGAACACTCTGGCCTTATTGTTTTAGCTTCAATTATCATTGAACACTCACCTCTTCTTCTGTATAACTTTATTACGTCTTTTCTTTTTTATGGTCGTTGTGTTTCATACTCTGCCCGTTTTTTTTTTTTTTTGAAAACATAGCGAAGTGCACTTCGCGCAATCAACAGCTGCCCAGGAATGTTCACATGTCGAAAACAAGTTTTGGGGTGGCCTATATCGTTAGTGCATAATGACAAAAAGTTATTGAGCATAACGAAAAAGTAGCACATCAGGAAAAAACACATGGGACGACTGTTACTTTCACTGGTTTGTTCCATAACATCGTGTAATATATATGTAGCGTTGACATGTAAAGCGTTGACATCAAGGTAACGAAGATTAATCTTGAGAAAGCGATCGGCGGAATAATACACTGCAAACAGCGCTCGCAACGTTGTTTATGCTATTCCACTTTCCTGTAGAAGAACCTATGTTGCTCATACCAGCCGATGTGTTGTTCAGAGATTGAAATAGCATCATTTTAATGTCACGAAAGCAATCTCACGTCCTTTGCGCATTCACTCTCAAGATTGGGGATGCAAGCCCTTGTTCGAAAAGAAGGAAATTTTATTTAAGGTTCCTCGCAAGATGACAAGGAAGATTATGGAGGCGTTTGAACTTGCAAGTTTATTGGACATGTGCGTGAGCCTACCCTCATCATCGCTTTCTGAAAAAGAGCTTCAGTTTTTTTTTTTTTTTTTTTACGCAGTGACATAATTTTTCTCTATTTCATGATAGTGCATTGTACACGGGCTTGGTTCAGCTTTGTGAATCCACAAAACGTTGTTTTTGACTATGTTATTTCCACTCACTCGGTATATGCTTATCGGTTCATGTGAAAATAAATCCGTTGAAAGCAGCGCTCTGTCCCTCTCAGTTCCCTTCTACGTCTTTGTCTGTTCACGCTTACTCACAATTTCTGGAAAAGCTCTACAATATTCCGACCCAGTGTTTTGTTACATCTCAGAATATAAAAAAAATATCCGCTTCTTAAATAGCTTTCAACTATTTGAACGTAGCTTGTGATTATTTGCGGGAATATTTCGTTAATCGAGTCACGGCTGAACACTTCAATGAAGCACCTAAACATCGATAAAGTGCGTGTCGATTCACAAAAAGTGCAGTATTCAATACGCATATTTAGTACTTGCTCACTTATGATTGCGAATAGTATTACTGTATAAACAGTATGGCTTAGTTCTCGCGATGTTCTTGCGCTTAAGTGATAACAAAAAACTTATTGTTGCAGAGCTGTAACATTTGTTGTTGTCCTTTTATTTTTCAGAGTGAAGGACCTGACAGTTTGTTGAGGACCCTGGTTAAACGATCGGCTGCCACTAGTGCGAACAATCGTGTTCGACGAGGAATACTTGACGCTGCCAAAATGGCCAAGGACGTGACGACAGCAGCTATTCGCGGAGTAATGGTCATGAAAAACACAATACGGAAGCTGACAGGTGAAGACAGCGACGAGCCATTTGATCCCATCGACGTTGACGCGATACTTAAAGCTGAAGGTTACGATGACGAGCCAATGCTAGAGCGTGACGGCGAAGATGCATTTGCAGCACTATCAACTGATACTGCGCGTTTTCTTCCAACTGAATTCTCGCCCCCAATCAGTTCTTACAATGAAGGGCCTACGAAAGATATGGGAACTGATGTATTTTAAAAAGGCAAATAAAGTACGGTAGTATGACGAAATTCTCTGCAGTACAGAGAGTGTCAAGAATTCTTCTTTATGTCCAACGAGATATTTCACGTGTATTACCCATCGCAAGAGGGTTGAAAAGCGGGCTAGTCAATATATATTCATACTGAAATAAAAGCAGCGCAAACAAACGAGACGAAGAAAGAGAAGACAAACAAGGCACGCCAAACAAAGTGGTTGTTTGTTGCTTCTACGTTGCTTTTATACGCCCATCGTGACTCAAAAACTAGGAAGATTAAGCAATCATGTTTCATTAAAACGAATACTGATAGTAATGTCCGCTCACCATCTGTTTCGCTTTTATATTATGAAATCCCGTCTCTGGACCACACTCAATTGCAGTAAAACCTTCCCACTTGATGTCCTTTCCCTTCGTGTTTTTTTGGTATATATCTTTTGTGAATAAACCCAAGTTCCAATCTGCACCTGTTTTCTGATCTTTGTGCGTCCCGATCCTTTGCGCCTCCAATATTTCAGTAGGAGTACTATTTCCATGAATTTCGTCAGCCTCGTATTCTCAGGTACTTTAGCAAAAATTAGTGAAAGAAAGCGGTGATGCACACTCTGAATTATCACCATTCGTGCATTCGCAAGTCCTCTACAAAGACAACTGTTCAAAAGAAGAAGTTTCTTGAGGATATATTTGGTAGCTTTGCTACATCGTGTAATCCTACTGAAAGACCACTGCTGCACTATGTGCTTGCATGCACGTTTGCTGCAAAATGTTTCTCGGTAGCACTTCCCCTTGTAAATAGCTATTCGAAGCGTGACGCCTGATAGTTAATTAGCACATGTGCTCTCTCTCTGCAAATCGCTCCCTCGCTAAAACAGAAACAGGTCTTCCTGGTGCAACAATATCCGAAACAATCTCGGTATTCAACTCTGACCCTAATACCCAGCAGTTCCCGAACACCTGTCTACGACGGGGGTCGGGCTCGTAATGTAGCCCAGGTTGCTCCCAATATTGTGTACTCGAACATGCCTCTACTGTAAATTGATGACGGGAAAGTGTAATAAAACACATCTAATACAAATCTAGGCAAGCATACGTAGTTTACCAGTACACAAACGTTAACTGAGATCTCAACATCCTTCGTTAACATAGAAGAAACAGGGAAGCTCATGTGGTGTTTTATGACACCCCGGTTCATCTGTAACAAAGGACTGTCTCACAAGAAATATTATGGTGTGGCTTCTCTAGTAAAGCACACACTGCCGCAACATTCAAATATTTTTATAATCAATGAGACAGTATAGTAGGCCTCGCCTTAGACATAAGTAAGCAAGCGCCACAAGCTCAAAATAGTATAGGTGTACGCTCCAACGTTTAGTTATTACTAAGTACTACTAACTAAGTAACAGTAGAGTGACTATATGAGGTTCCTTCAATGATGGCATGGTGGTTGAGTGGCCGTAGCGTTGCAAGTGGCCAAGAAGATCCTCCGTGAGCAATCACAACATGGTTTATTTCGACATTTCAGCCAGAGTGTGGCCTTCACCCGGATCTTCAGAATATATATATATATATATATATATATATATATATATATATATATATATATATATATATATATATATATATATATATATATATATATATATATATATATATATATATCACAAGCAGCATTTTCTGAAGCACGAGACTGGGGCTTCGAGCCTGTGGCCTGTGGCGGTTTGACGACCACTCCATCATCATCGCCATCATACGTCCAGCAGCATAATAATGGGCACCATTTATTCTCCTTCTGAATTCGAAATGTTGCGAAGGGCGCGCTTGAAAGGTCATCGCCCATCCCGTGTGGCAGCTTGGGCTAGTTGGTATGGCATGAGCACTCGTGTCTTTCGTGTCCTTCTTGTCTCTGTGTCGTCGTTTTGTTCTCGCGCTATAACTATCGTCAGCCCATCCCGTGTTCCGCCAGTGCTGGGATACGCGCCTCCGACCGGTACTTTGACCTACAGCATGTGGTCGCCCGTGCTCACGTGTTTATTTTCTGAGGGAGGAAGCGTGTACGTTTTGCGCCTTCCCCACAAGAGATAAAGATGCAAGGAAAGGCAGGGAGGTTAACCAGACTCACATCCGGTTTGCTACCCTGCACTGGAGAAGGGATAAAGGGGAAAAAAGAGGTTGCAGAAAGATGAGAAGGTACACACAATCACGAGCACACTCGGGGTGCACACACAGTCTACAGGTGGTCGCTCAGGTTTGTTGACTTTAGGTAAAGTAGCAGTGCTTTAGTTGCTTTCGGCGCAACTGAGGCAGATGCCCAAGGTCCTAGTATCTTCTGCACACAAAATGGTCCGGGGTCAAGTTTATTTAAAACCATCCGAAGCTGGCATCGCTGTGTGTCGTAGCAAGCGCAGCTGCACAGGACGTGTTCGATGGTCTCTTCAGCTCCGCAGTAGTCGCATGTAGGAGTGTCTGCCATACCAATGCGAAAGGAGTACACCTTTGTAAATGCAACACCCAACCAAAGGCGGCATAACAGTGTCGCATCGGAGCGGGAAAGTTGTGATGGTAGCTTTAGCTTGAGCGAAGGATCCAGTTCATAAAATTGACACCTTTAGAAGCTCGTAGACGACCAGAACGTGCGTGTGAGATCTCGAGCCAGCAGGTAAAGTTGTCTTGCTGCATCATTCCTTGATAGAGGAATCGGGACTACACGGGTTTCTTCATGGGCTGAGCGGGCTGCATCATCGGCTAATTGATTTCCCGTAATACCGATATGTCCAGGCAGCCATTGATATATAATATCATGCCCTCGTGCTAGAGCTTCATGATGGCAATATCTTATTTCTTGTACCAATTGGTCATGACTCCTCCTACGCATGGCAGACTGCAAACTCTGAAGCGCTGCCTTCGAATCACAGAATATGGCCCATTTTCCTGTACGTTCTTGAACTAGATATTGTAAAGCAGCCCTTATAGCAGCAAGCTCTGATGCCGTAGATGTAGTCATATGCGACAACTTAAACTTGATTGTCATTGCTGCAGCCGGAAATACAGCGGCACCTGATGAGCTGCTGGACGAGACGGACCCATCAGTGTATATCTGCGTTCGGTCTAAGTACAACTCATGTAATAATAGCAGTGTTGCTTGCTTCAATGCTACTCTGGAGTGATTGCTTTTCTTTTTGATTCCCGGAATTTCTAGACGTACTTGCGGCGGGTCGAGGCACCGCAAAGGACATGCCATTCTCGCAGCTGGCGTATATCCTGATGGAATGCTGTTTAGGTGCTTGGCTATGACGTCTGAAAACGTAGCACGTGGTCTTCCGTAAGATAAAAGGGCCAAGTGGTGGTCGGGGACACGGCTAGCATGTCGAATGTGCGCTCTGAGGCAATCCACAACTCTATATGTCCTGACCGGATGGTCTTTGGCAAGCATGATCGTGGCAGAAGTAGAAGCGCATCGGGGCAGCCTTAGGCACATACGCAGTGCCTGACCCTGGAAACTCTCCAATGAATGAGTATTCGATTTGCAAGTGTTAGTCAGTACCGGCAAGCTGTAGCGCAATAGACCCAGAAATAGGGCCCTGTACAGCGGTAGCATGGAGGCCACAGAAGTTTCCCATGCTTTCCCGCACAAGAATTTCATTATATGCACAATAGATAGCAGTCTCTTCTTCAAGTACGCACAATGTGGGCTCCACGAAAGACTTCTGTCGGTTATTATGCCCAGAAAACGATGCGTCCGTGCATATTTGACACTCTGCCCATTGATGTAAACAGGGTATGGCGTCATTGGTTTGCGTGTAAACGCCATCAACGCGCGCTTCATAATTGATATATTTAGGCCTTGTTTCTGAAGGTAGGCTGCTGTGAGGGTTGCTGCCCGCTGTATTCGTGCACGCACCTGAGGGCGAGTAACTGCAGCACTCCAGAGGCAAATATCATCGGCGTATATGGATAGGCACACAGACTTTGGCAGAACCTTCAATAGACCAATGAGGGCAACATTGAACAATGTGGGGCTTAAAACACCTCCCTGAGGTACTCCGCAGTAGGTGTAATGTTGATCAGTTGTACCCTCATATGTTTGTACAAAGAAACCCCTGCCAGTTATATGTCACGGGGTGCACGTGACAGTGTGCCAGCGTCTTCATGCTTACGGCTGGACTTTAAACGATGGTGACGTCAAATTTCTACAGCCGCCAGCTCAACCGTGCTAGTCGTCTTGAAAGGTCTCGCATGTCTGCCAACCAACAGAGGGCATCGTGGTCTGTCACTATTTTGAAGGTACAACCATAAAGGTACGGGCGAAACTTGGTGATTTCCCACGCTGCTGCGAAGCACTCTTTTTCTATAGTGGAATAAGTCGCCCCGGTACGAACTAGGTAGCGGCTGGCGTAAGCTTTGACTATTCCGATGCCATCTTGACGCTGAACGAACACTGCACTGAGACCAACGTTGCTGGCGTCAGTATGCACCTCCGTGTAAGCATCATTGTCGAAATGAGCGTGAACGGGCGCTGATTGCATGCGCTGTCGCAGTTTTCCCACACAACCGGTGTGTCGTCCTTTGTGAGGTGAGTCAGGGGTTCTGCTATCCGTAAAAAATCCGTCAATGAATCTGCGATAGTAGGTACAGTTTGGAAACTGACGTACTGAGAGTTCCCGCATACCCGGCGCATTGTGAGAATTGGTGTTATGCAAAGCAATCACGGAGTAGTTGACTGATCGAGATCGTTTGTCTTTGAGCCAAGTGTTCCGAGGTGTATTGATGGCATCGGGCAAAGTGATCGGTTGCGTGCATGTGGTCGTATTTATTTTGTCTAAATTTGGATGTTTAAAAGGTGGCTCATTGTCTGGTAGACATGGCGAGTAGTGGGACATCCATTTTTTTACGCAAAGTGATCAGTGAAGCAATGCCAACGTCGCATTGTTTTCTTCGAGCCCAGTATTACGAGGTAGATTGCTTCTTTTATGAATGTTGATCAGTTGTAGGCATGTCGCCATTAGCATGTCGGCATTCACATTCGAGCACCGACGACAGATTTGCCTAAAAGAAAGCCACACTGCTTTGGCGCAGAGTTATCGTACACATGTAACGCTCATTAGATTTTTATAAGAGCAGTTAACTTACAAAGCTACCATAATTGGCGTCAGACTAGTACCGTGACCCCAAACAATGTCAGGCAGCCACCTTCAAAGCAGCTGGTGTAAGCGCTTCATTTGACATGACAATTTATTACGAAAGAGTCACCCATAACCAACAATTTAAACCTTACATTGTACATTATGAAAATATAGCGTTGAGGGCAATAATTCCTTCTATGATAAGGAACTGGCTGCCCCTTCAAACGATTGGAACTCTTCTCAGCGAGAAACTAAAAGTACACTCGCAGACTAGAAAACCTAGAAAACTTTTGTAGCACTCAAAACAAGCCATTCGTGGAGCGAAATTGG